ATCTCTAAGACTCTAGCTCCAGTATTTTGTGATTCCATGACCTTAAGGGGAGCATTCACTGAAACTTTACTCTTTTTGGTTTAGTGTGCCACATTTAACATGCAAGACACTCTCAAAGCCCCCGGAAATCTCCAAAATCTCTGCTTTGGACCATTAGAGCTGTTGGAGTCATTCAATTTGCAACTTCATTCCTGCTTTATCTCCATTTATTGCAGAAACCTGATTAACAAAAGCTAACCGAGGATAAAGAAACATATCAGAAATGGGTACTGAGAAGGGAGGCGGGGGAAGAGGGAAGGGCCAGGGGAAGAGTTGAACAAGGGAGAGCCAGGCTCTCTCTAGCTCCGGACAATCAGCTTTATGTATCACCAAGTAAATCTTCAGCCTTCAAAAGGGCAGAAAGCTCCCTGGGATCCCAATGCATCGATACGAGAGAAAGATGCCTGAAGCCCAAGCAAGAAGAATTTGAAAGGGAAATGTCTTCTCTCACCCAGTACAGTCCCATTGCCAGACTCCTCCAGAATCCCACATGGGAAGCCCAGTGTGTCCTCTATATGTCCTATGATTTTGCTCAGTTTATTTTTAAACAGGCCAAGGAAGACAGCTTCCAAAACCCCACATGGGCCTTGAGTCTCCATTTAAAGCATCAGTAAAGTCCCCAGATAGTGTGTCCCAGTATACTCTGCATTTTGTTTCATCCTAGTTCTCCCAGGTGTGTTATCAGACTGGAGAATTTCTCCTCTTCCTCTGAATGTTTGCCAGATGGCAAAGCGTGGATTTAGCATGGGGGTAGGGGAGGGAGAGGATGGGGTTGGAACAGAGATTAAAGGGATAGAAGGAAATTAACGGTGGAGGAAGAGGTTTAAGTGCACCCTAAAACAAACCCCAAAAAGGACCACATTTAATCCCATTACTCTCCCACTCCCAACAGCCATTGGTTTTAATCTGAACTCCCTTCCTTTGTACATCCCCTGTTTCTGTCTCAGGTTTTAATTCTTCCCAGCTTCAAGTGGTAGGGAGGAGATTTGCTAAGATGTTCCTGGCTAGACCACCAATTTTAGTAGAGGTTGAATGAGCCTTCTCATTCACCTTCAACATTATCTGTACCACTTAGTCACAATTTGTGTAGTACAGATATCGTACCAATTTTACAGATTAGGAAACTTTGACATAGAATAGCTAAATGACTTGTCTGTAATCACACAAGAAATAATTGACAGAACTATTGTACAGTGCATAGACAGTTAAGTGATTCAGTGGATAGAGAGCTGGGCCTGGAATCAGAAAGTTTTGAGTTCAAATCTGGCCTCAGCTGTGTGACCCTGGGCAAGTCACTTAACCTTTTTTTGCCTTAATCTTCTGAAGAAGGAAATGGTAAACCATTTCAGTATCTTTACCAAGAAAACCCCATAACGGGATCACAAAGAGTTAAACACAATTGATTGATTGAACAATAACATTGTACAGTGAAAAGAAGATTGGTTTTGTAGTCAAAGGATCTGAGGTCAAATTCAGGCTCTGCAACCAACCTGTGTGATTTGGGACATTCCATTTATCCTGTCTAGGCTTCAGCATTCTCAAATGTAAAAGTAAGAGAGGTGAACTAGATGACCTCTTGAGATCCTTCTGGCTATAAGCTTATGATTCTCTCTCTGATGCCCTTGCAAGGCTCCTTCCACTATGTCCCAACATCCCTTTGGAAGTTGCAAGTAAAAGAGGGAAACTGAGGCCTAGAAAGGCAATATTAGTTTTTTGAGCTCAGTTTTTCTGTCTGCAAAGCAGAGGATGCTATCCTTTTATAGCACAACAAGTGACAACGTTTCAAAGCATGAGGAACTACTAGGAAATTAAGAGAAAGATGTGGCGTTACTGTCCCCAAAGGAGATTCTCTGAACAAAAAGAAAGGAGTTTAGGCCCAAATCGCTAAGCTGGAGGGGATGGGAATTTGCCCAAACAAGACTAGTCCTTTTGAAATTCACTTAAACTCAAGGATGTTATTCAAGACGTGGAGTTAATGGAGAGAGAAGGAGGGAATGAAATCCGAAAATTAAATCCCTTGATAAAATACATTCATTTCTGACCACCTGTTACAAAGCCTCTTGAGTTTTCTAAAAGGTTAAAACACACAGGAGTGAAGGGAATCAAGTCATTCCCTGTTCTGTCTTCTTGCACTTCATCACAAAACTGCTTATTGTTTGATTGATCAGAGAAACATTTATTAAGCACCTTCTATATACAAAGAACTATGCTAAATGCTATAGAAGAGGAAGGTGAGGTAGAGAGAACTACTTAAGCTTCCCTAAGGTTGTACGTGGATCACAACAAAGTGTGCTAAGTCTTCTCAAAAAGGTGAAAGTACTAGATCATCTTACTTGTCTCCTGAGAAATCTGTATAAGAAGGGCCAAAAAGCCTCTTGATGAAGGTGAAAGAAGAGACTGTAAAAGCTGGCTTGAAGTTTAACATCAAAAAACACTAAGGTCTTGGCAACTGGTCCCATTACTTCATGGCAAATAGTGGGAGAAGAAATGGAAGTGGGGTCAGCTTTTATATTCTTGGGCTCAAAAATCACTGCAGATGGAGACTGCAGACATGAAATTAAAAGACACTTGCTCCTTGGAAGGAAAGCTATGGCAAATCTGGATAGCATACTAATGAGCAGAGACATCACCTTGCTGACAAAGGTCCATACAGTCAAAGCTATGGTTTTTCCAGTAGCAATTTATGGCTGTGAAATTTGGACTGTGGGGAAAGCTGAGTGGTGCAGAATCGATGCTTTTGAATTGTGGTACTGGGGAAGACTTTTGAAAGTCCCTTGGACAGCAAGATCAAATTAGTCAATATTTAAGAAAATTAATTCAGATTGTTCACTGGGAGGTCAAATACTGAAGCTGATGTTTAAATGCTTTGATTCACTGGAAAAGACCCTGATGTTGGGAAAGACTGAAAGCAAAAGGAAAAGGATGGCAGAGGATGAGTTGAATGGATAGTGTCACGGAAGCAATGAACATGAGCTTGGACAGTCTCGGGGAGATAGCAGAAGATAAAAGGGCCTGGTGTGCTGTGGGCCATGGGGTCATGGACAGTGGGACATGTCTGAATGACTGAACAACAATAACCATAAGTTTGTACCTCTTCCAGTTGCCTTTCAATTAGAATAGCTCCCACATCTGCAGAGCTTAGTGCTTACAGAACACATTTGTGACAAAATCTCTAGAAGGTCTGGAGTGAAAATGTCATTATCCCCATTTTGCAGGTGAGAAAGCTGAGGTTCAGAGAGGTCAGTGAATGATCCAGGGTCATACACCTAGGATCAGAGTCAGAATTAAACCTCAGGTCTCCCACCTCCATTTTTTCAGACTTTTTCTTTACCACTAACTTGACATAAGAGCTCTCAGGAGACCTTAAGGGTTTAGGTTGGAGGCGGGCACAGGGAGCTAAGGGGGAAAAGGCCTTCCAAGATCTACTCTCTAGTCCTTTTTTTTTCTTTAGTGGACATAAGGATATAGGGAGAGCCTTTCTTAGTTCTGGGATTATTACTCTCTCATACACAATGAAAGATTCGCCTTAGGTTGGGAATAGCAGGAGGAAGAGGGAAATGGCAATGCCTAATGCAATACCACCTCCTACAGGAGCTTTCCCTGACTGCCTTTGTTGGAAGTACTAATCAGATCATCTGGTCTCAAAATACTTTATATTCCTCTAATGCACTGATATTCTAATTTATTAGATATTATTAGATAATAATAAATTATTAAATATTACTTTTATCTACATCCTTAATTTATGGAGGCTATCATCTAGGAAGGGGATAAGGACAAGAATAGTGACAGAATGTATGGTCCATAAGGATGGGTGCCTTTCGTTTTTTGACTTTGTAGCTTCAGTGCCTGGTGCTCCGGCTGACACATAGTAGGAGCTTAGTAAATGCTTGTTGATTGATTTGTATTTTTTATCTTCATATTCCCCCCCCCCGCCATAACATTGCACATGATGGGTACTTAAATATTTTTCAGATTTGTTGGGTGACTGGGCAAGTCATTCAGTCTCTCCTGGCCTCAGTTTCTTCATCTGTTAAATGGGGATAATAATAACACCTGCCTCACAGGGCTGTTGTGAGGACCAAATGAGTGATTTCTGTGAAGTGCTTCACAAATGAAAGAGGCTATAAAAATGCCTTCTTCTTGCTGTTGTCATAGAAAAGCAGCATGATAGAATACTGGACTTTGTTTGAACCTAAGCCAAGAAGACCTGAGTTCATATCCTTACTAGCTTACTGATACTTACTAGCTGTGCGAACATGGCGAACTCTTTTAACCAAAGAGTCCCAGTTTGTTGTTTTTTCAGTCATGTCTGACTCTTCATGACCTTGCATGGGGTTTTCTTGGCAAAAACACTGGAGTGGTTTGCCATTTCCTTCTCCAGCTCATTTTACAGATGAGAAAACTGAGGCAGACAGGGTTAAGTGACTTGCCAAGGGTCACGCAGCTAATAAGTGTCTGAGGCCAGATTTGAACTCAGGTTTTCCTGGCTGCAGGCCCAGTACTCTATCCACTACACCATCTAGCTGTTCCAGCTTCCCCATCTCTGAAAAGGACTTAATTTTAATATTTATCTTACAGGGTTGTAGTGAAAGTCAAATGAACTAATGTACATAAAGTGCCATGTAAATGTCAGCTATTATTAAATCCATTTTATTAATATGTTTAAATGTTAATGTTATAAATTCTAATAATATATTATAATATTATAAAAATAACATATTAATATTAAATCCAAGAAATTGCAGAGTTGGTTAAAATTATTAACCTTTCTCTTCATAAAATCTCTTGCAGTTGGCTCCACTCAATAGTTGGTCATCAATAGCAAAGAATCCCCACCCTCTTTCAACATGTATGAACAATTTTTTGAAGTAAAATGTTCTCTAAGAGACAGGAAGTTGGGGCTCCCTTCCTGCAAGAGGTGCTTTCAAAGTATAGGCAATGCAGTGATATCACCATACCTTAAACACAAAGCCCTCTGGGCAGCTTAACTGGTCATACCAGAGAGCCTTGTACATGACCAGCATGAGGAGACAGGCCAGGAACGCCATCGTGATGAGAATGAGTCCTGTCAACTAGAAAGAGAAAGGGAGAAAAGGAGGAGAGAAGAAAGAAAATGAGTGAGCTCCATTTAATAAATCAAAATAGCATAATAGAAAGAGAAATGCTGATAAAGGTAAGGGTTGGGTTGGTTGAATAAACTTGTCAACATCTCACCCACTTAAAATAAGTGATGAGATGCCCTGATACCTTAACAAGGGGGAAAATAAGTCTCAAATAACCAAACACTAGATTTAGTGGAGAATGACTTCAGACATGCTGGAGTGAGATTGACAGGAAAAGTCTTCAGATTGGCAGAGGAAAATTAGTCATGCTTTTTGAGTCATCTATAAAGTAGAAGATGAGTTTAGGACCCAGTTTAAATGAGCATCTTGCCAAGATTCCTGTAAGAGGCAAATAAAAAGAGAGCGTTCCAGCTAAATTCCAGCTAAACTGGGGTGGGGGTTGGGATGAGGAGCACTTTGGCTTTGGCCTCGGTCTGCCTGAGCTGCAGGAGAATCTTGTGATTTTTGAAGGATTTCCAGGACTTCCCATCTTCCCACTGTCATCCTAGCTGTGTCCCCATAGTAGCTTAACCATCAAGTCTGCCTTGGGATTTCAAGGAGACTGAATGTAGTAGATTCATAGCTCTACAAAAATTCAGGTGAAGAAACAAAACCATTTCTAAGGGCAAATTTCTTAAGAAGCTCATGAAAAGGAGAAAAGGACTTTCAACAATGAGAACAAGTTACCCCTTTGAAACGTGTTCTCTCTAATCTTGAGCCCACTTTCCTCTGTACTCTGAAACTGTTGGAAAATTTGTCACAAAAAATTTGGGGAGGGGAAATGTTTTGTACCAACTACTGGCTTCCTTGCTCTCCCTCAGCTGTGGTCCTGTCTCCCAACTCTCTGACTTCACATTGGCTATTCCCTGTGCCTGGAATGGTCTACCCCCTTACCTCTGCTTCTCAGTTTCCCTGGCTTCCTCCAAGACTCAGTTCAGATCCTACCTTCTCCAAGAGGGTGATCCCGGTCTTTAGCGAATGCTCCTTTCTAAAAGCAGCTTAAATCTGGTTAGGATTCTCAAGTAATAATTATGTCAGGAAGCACACTGGTGGGGGGCTCATGGGCTGTAGCACTAGGAAAAATAGTCTTCCTGACCTCAGGAGTATACTTTCAACTGAGCTCTTGGGACCCAACTGATCAGGATAGAAGATGGAATACTTGCCTCAGAACATGTTACATAAATACGAAAGCATCACTACTGTAGTGGGTCAGCATCATATAATGAAGAGATAGAGAGAACACTGGGATTGGAACCCAAAGGCCTGAACTAGAAATCGGTTGTCACTTATTAGCTGTGTGACTTTGAGCAAATCATTTATTGTCTCTGGTCCTCAGTTTCCCTACCTGAAAAATGGTTAGTAGGAAGGATTTGACTAGATCAGGCCAGTACAACATACAACCTGTGGGCTGCGGCCTATTTTACATCCTCTGCATTTTTTGTGGGCCACCCAAAATCCTTTGGTGGGCCACAAGCAGCACGCAGGCCACATGTTGTGCAGGCCTGGACTAGATGATACATAAGTCTTCTCCCTGTAGAGCTTTGGAACCTCGTTTTGCTGTTCTTTTTGGAAATCAATAGTTTGGAACACCCTGTCTTATTACAGCTCTTGAACTAGCCTTCCAGACAGGGGAATTCCCATCAATAATCAACAAGTGAGTCAACAAGAATTTATTAAAGGCTTACTACATGCCCGACACTGTGCTAAGCAATGAGGATACAAAGAGAGGCAAAAAACACTAGCACCGAGCTATTTGCCTTCAAGCAGCTCACGTTGTAATGGAGGAAACAAAGTATAAGTAACTAGGTATTTAGGAGATGTATTAAGAGTAAAAGAAGGTAATCTGAAAAAGGAAGGCACTAGCACCTGGGAGAGACCAAGAAAAGGTAAGATCTGACCTGAGCCTTGGAGGAAGCTAGGAGAACCAAGAAACAGAAGTCAGGGGGCAGATCATTGCAGGCATGGGGACCAGCCAGTGAAAAGTCAGAGAACTGGGAGATGAAGGCTTCAGATGTGTCTGAAGGACAGCAAGGAAGTCAGTGTAGCTGACTATAAGGTATGAGAAGGTTGGAAAGGTAGGAAGGGGCCAAGTTTGGAGAGGATTTAAATGCCGGAGGACTTTATAGTCAATCCTAGAAGTGACAGAGACACACAGAAATCTGGCCTTCTGGAGTAGGGGGTTGGCTGTTCATCCAAGGGTCCTTGTTTGTTGGCATGTAATAATGGAGTGGCTAGATTTTAGTTAAGACATCCTCTCTTTGTATGACCGGGCACAAGCCATTTACCATTCTTGGATGCCAGTTTTCTCATCTATGTAATAAGGGGGTTGAATTAAATGGCCTTAAAAACTCTTCCAGTTTGACAGTCAAAAGATCTAATCTAATGGTTTTTTTTTAACTAGAACTCTGATTTCTTTGGTACTGGGAATACCATCAGAAAACTTCTGCCAATGCAGATGGGCACCTTGTCTGCAACCTGGGAAAGTTGTCGGGGGCATTTAGTTGAGTGAGTTACTCTGGGTCTCATAGAGCCAGGACATGTTAGAGACTGGACTTGAACCTAAGTGTTCTGACACTGAGGACAGCCCTCTGTTATGCTTAGATGCCTCTCATTCTATTGCTTTAAAAAGGAAAAGAAAATGGAGATTCACTATAAGACATGTCATTAAGAGATACAACTATTTTAAACAGATGCATTCAACTGGGTTTCTTTTTAATCCTTCTCAATTCAAACTTTTTAAGCACCTTAAAATAGAATAAGTTGCTTCATAAGATAGTGAGTTCCCCCGCACTGGAGGCCATCAAGGGGAGGCTGCATGATGACCCCTCAAAGCTGGTGCAGTGGGCATGCCTGTGCAGACACAGATTAGATTAAATGACCATCAGTACAAGCCTTACACAGTCCTCTCCATAGGACCTTGCCATCATTCTGGCAGTGTGTCCTACAGAGGCAAACTTTTGTGTGTAAACAAGATTTATAAGGCAAACAATCCTCCTCAAAGCTCAGCAACTAGAGAACCCTAAGGTTCAAAACAACTTTGAGGGGCCATTTTGTTTTGTTTTTGTTTCCAAATTAAGGCAGCGGGCTGTAATGGGGGGGGAGGGTAAATCGCTGAACTGGGACTTCTGGAGACCTGAATTCTAGCTCCATTATCTAGCTATGTGATTTTGAGTAAGTCAGTTCCCTCTCTGGGCAGCTGTCCTCACCTCTATACGATGAGGAGCTTTAAGAGAGTAGGGTCTTCTAAAGCAGAGGCTGGGCAGCTGGGTAGTACAGTGGATAGAATGTCAGGCCCAGAGGCAGGAAGACTCCTCTTCCTGAGTTCAAATGTGGCTTTAGACACATACTAGCTGTGTGACCCTGGGCAAGTCACTTAACCTTGTTTGCCTCTGGTTCCTCATCTGTAAAATGAACTGGAGAAGGAAATGGCAGACCAGTCTAGTATCTCTGCCAAGAAAATCCCTGAATCTGACACAAGTCAACAACAGAAGTAGGGTTGTCAAAGTCGCTGTCTGAATGTAGCCCTCAATGCTGTTGAGTGTGCTCAGAACCAGAATAACATGTAACTGAGAAATTTAACAAAAGAAACAGAAATGCAATAAATAATGTTACTTTGTGGTCTTCTAAGTTGATAAGTGGAGGCAGGGAACGGTTTCCACTTAAATTCAACACCGCTACTCTACAAGTCAAGAAGACTTGAGTTCAAATGTAGCCTCAGACACTAGCTGTGTGACCCTGGGCAAGTCACTTAACCTCTGCCTTCCTCGGTTTCCTCAATTGTAAAATGGAGATATTCCCAGGGTTATTGTGAGGATAAAATGAGATGAAATGGTTAGCACAGTGTAGAGTAGCCTCCTATTGAACACTTGATCCTTCCTTCCTTCTAAACTCCCTTCCAGCTGACACTCTCTGGCTCAAATTTTAAGTGCATGTGCCCACACGTAGTTTTCCAAATAAATAGATTAATCTGAGAATGGAAGGTACATGTTAAAACGACCTTGTTCTTTCGATAGTAAATGGAATTTATTTGAAGAGGAAATTTTTATTTTTAATTTTTCCATTATTTACTTATTTTAACATTATTTTTTTAAATTTTGGGTTCCAAATTCTCTCCCTCCTTCCAGCCCCTATACCACACATTGAGAATGCAAGAAATGTGATATCAATTAGACATGAGAAGTCATGCAAAACAGGTTTTCACATTAGCCATCTTGCAAAAAAAGAAAAGCTAGAAAAATAAAGTGAAAAAAAAAAAGTGTGCTTCAATCTGCACTTAGAGTTCATCAGTTCTTAAATAGGAAAATTTTAGCAGCCTCTTCCAAGGTTGGGACTTTGATCTGCATATTAATGTGTGGATGGAGTAAGGAAAGAGCCTGGAGTAAGGAAAGAGCCTAGACCCGGAAAGGCTGTGGCATGCTGGATCCTTCCTTGTTGAGCAACATGTGATCATGCGTTTAGATTTGATATTGTAAAGCTTCTGAAGTATCAACTCAGAGGCCTTGGGTTCAAATCCCAGTCACTACCTGCATAACTTTGGCCAGTCTCTTCACCTCTCTTGGCCTTAGTTTCCTTAACTGTAAAAGTGGCCTTTAAGGTTTCTTCTGTTTCTAAATCTAAGCTCTCATGATCCTACTATGCTGGGAAAAGGGAGGACTGACTGACTTCATCTGGCATGAAGTTTATTCATAGACTGATGTTCCTGATCCTAGTTCAAACCAAAATAGGGGCCTCATGGCATGGCCTTTCTCACAATTCTCATCTTGTCAAAAAGTGGGAGTTCAGATATTTGTATGACCCTAAGCAAGTCATTTAACCTCTATGTGTCTCAGTTTCCTCATCTGTAAAACAAAGAAGTTAGACTCCATGGCATCTAAGATACTCTCCAACTCTAAATTTATTTTCTTTAGATCCTATAAAACTCAGACAGTATGTGAAGCTTAAGTGAAGAGGTAGATTAAATATGGTCATGG